AAGTCACAGTCTTTTTGCACTGTATGTATATATGTATATAAAACGTACATCACTTGATGTGTAATGTCTTATTTTATCGTAAGATCCAAAAATATCAGAAAAGACTTGTCCTTGTAACGCATATGATTGAATCAACTCATGGGCTTCGATAGAAAGACACTAACCCTTTCATTTCTTTTTTTTTTTAAACTATTTTGTTTGTTTGCCCCCCACAAAAAAATGAAATGAAATGAAATTGAATTATACGTACCATGGATATAAAATCAATGTGTATATATATATATAAGATGTTAGTCGTCTAAATTAAATTATATAAAAATGTCACGATCAAGGTTCAGACATGTTTCTGGTAGCACCACGTGAAAGGATTGGATAACATTTAACTAAACAACAGGTCAGAGTTCACTCCACCCAATTCCATTAAGTTCACCCATTTCCTTCCTTAGTGTAATATTTATTTCCTCTCTCCCCCCCACTCACTGCATTGCTTTATGATATGATAGATTATATCACATGTTAATTTTATTTTGTTTTTAATTATTTTGATGGTTGCAATGGTATCATCATCATCATCATCAAGAGCTTTTGTTTACGTCAGTAAAAAAATTGACAGTCACGTACTGCCTCATGTGACTGCAAAGAACAAATCAAAGCGTTGAATCAATTTGCACGAATATTAAAAAAAAAAGGAAACATAAACACAGTCGCAATGTACGACCCATATCAAAAATAGATACGATAAACTATATAATATAATACAAGTGTCTAAGACTTTGTAGTGTGTGATTAAAAAACGATTAGGATGTGTTTTGGATTAATTAAATTATGCGAGAAAAAAAATAATAAAGGAAAAAAAAAAAGAGAAGCGTAGACTTGTAAGAGTCAAGATGTAAAGATCGAAGTTCAAAGCACGAGACCCAATACGGTGAATTAGCAGAGGATTTCACATGGCGATGTCCGTTCACCGGCAAATGCCAAGCCGGTGATCCATCGGTGAAGATCAACGGCTCAGATTTAAGTTTATATTCCACTTGTAAAATCATTATAAGCTTGTGCAATTAATTTGAATTCTAGGTTGGTTAACCATTTTTTAAGTACGATGTAATAATATTTTTGCCACGCGAGCTTTTACATGGTACTGAAATTGTAGAAAATTATTTTTTTTAAAAAGTAGAAAATAACATTTGTGTCATATATGTGTTTTAGGAATTTTGTGACATGAACAACATTAAAATAAAGATAGTTGGTATTTGTGTCACATATTTAATTGATTATAATTAATGAAAAACATGAATCAGGGTTTCTTAATGATATTCCATTCCGTGTAGATATTGGAATTTCTTCCGTTTTTAAATAAATATCATTTTAAAATTTTAATATAAAAATTATATATACCCTTATTAAATCATATTCTTATTAATACTCTATTAATAAGATATTTTTAATTAAAAATTAAATTAAAATTTTTAAATCATTTAAAAAATCTAAAACGATATTTATTTAGTAACATAATATTTTCTAAAACAACATATATTTAAAAATGGAGGGAGCAGCATAACGTTATTTTTTTTAAATCTTAATTGTTTATGTATTAATATTTTAATCGTTTATTACTTTTTTTAATGAACAAAATATATAATGCAAATAAAACGTTATCACTTAATCGTAATCATACCACGTTTCTATTATTCTAATACGGCATATTCGATTTGCGTCGCATAGGTCGGTCCAAGACTCGCATGCTCGACCGGTTTGTATCGGGTTTCGGGGTCCGGTCAGGTCTGGGGGTATATATGTGTATGCATTTGTTCAAATACCGATAATATTATGATGAATGAAGTAAAAAAAAAAAAAAGTGTTTGGACAAATTAATCTTCTGTCTCTTTTGAAGTTGATTTTCCGAGGAGCTTCTCTTTTCTACATCTGTCTTTCAGATTTTTGTCCTTTTTCTCTGTTTTAATTTTTGTTCCTCTGGAACAATACTGCAAATAATGTTAAAAAAAATTAGTATTTATTATTATTCAACAGAAATTCATTAGGGTTTCATTCTAGGCAAAAAAAAAAAAAGAAAAAGAAATTGTTATTGTTAATTCAAACTGGTGAAAGACTGTTTCCAACTTTACATATCCATTGACTAGCAAATTTTATATCGTGAAAATACATGCAGAAAAAGAAATCTGCATGGACCGCACGTACAATTTAATCGGCGTGTAAAAAAGTATATTATTAAGCATTTGAAAAAATCGCTTACTTATTTATATGTTTCGAGAATGGAATTAGTATTTTGGTGCTATGATGTTAAATATAATATAACAATTTTAAAAATGTTTGGGGGGCACCATTAAATTAAATTGGAATTGGGATGGTTGGGGGCTATTAAAGAGAGAGACATCGGCCTAAACCATGGACCGACACACCCCTTGAATTATGGACCCTCCCATTACTATCTTAACAAATTATTTTCTTATATTTCGCTGATCTCTAAGTTTGAACCCTCCCTACGACCCATTTCATTTCATTTTAATTTAAAATATTAACAATAATATTCCCATTTTATAATTAATTCCCCGTTAACTACGTTTATTTCTTCACTGAATCTTAAGGTATTTTTGCTACATCATCTTTTTTGTATGAAATCCAAAATATATATATATATATATATATATTTAATATATATAAAATTTTAGGGTTTAGGATTCAATCATCAATCAAAGAGATAGAAACCATAATTAGATTTAATGTGATTCATTTTAATAAAAAAATATGTTTTGCATTTGATATGATTAACAAAAAAGATGAGAGATGTAAAGAAGAAACGTAGATTGATTAACAATTTTCCTGCAAGTTTAGCATTTGATTAACAAATAGATTCGTGATTTGCTTGTTAAGTCGTCAAAACAATAAAGTGAAAACCATCAGTACGTCAATGGTCAAAAGAAATGTTAAAGGCTACAATTAAGAATAAAAGAAACCTACGGGATCAATTTGAAATTTACTCCCAACTAAAAATGGAGCCATCTCATGAAGCGCCGAGCCGAGCCGCTTAAATACATATTTATTTACTTTTCTAAATTTTTGGAAAATCACAATATTAAAAAAACATCTGTATATGTGCACTAACTATATTTAAAATAATATCGTTATTTATAATTGTTCAACTAATTAATATATTTTACTGGTTCTCATGTATTTCTTTTGATTTTTTTTACCAATTTATATTTTTATCTATTTTTTACATAATTTATTAGTTATTTGTTTTAATTTTATTAGATTTTAACAATGTACATCCTAAATATTTTTGGATGTTGGAGTCCTTAATTTTGTGATATCTAAATCAGTGAACTTGTGATTCAATCCCTATATTTTTTTAAATATGAATTAACCTCCAAATTATTTAGGCCATAAAATTTTGACAAGGGAAAGATTATATTAGATAACATAAAATCCAATCTTTTAAAAATCTGTAATCATATGTTTGTGATTCTATGATCAAAAGATGCCTTCTGTTTTTCCTTTAACTTGTTTATTTTTAACCATCATCAGAATATATCAATGTCACAAAAATAACAGGAAAGTGCAAGTTAAAAGAAATATCTCTATGCTTGCCGGTCCATATAAATATGAATTGCACCAAATACTTACAAATCTATTATCAATAAAATATTATATTTCGGTTCAAAGTAGTCAATATCGACGGAAAAAAACACCTAAAATGTTTTCGGGTACCAAATAATTAAGATTTTTTAACCATCATGTTTCTTTTATGATTATATATGTATTTGTCGTAACTCGTAAGGTAAATGTAAAAGGCGTGAAAGGACGGAACGCGGGGAGATGACGGAAAATAGTTAACGGCGAGGATTGTCGGTTTAAGGCAGAAAGTGGGACCCACGTATCTAAGATGGGAATCTTTCTGATGTACGGTGGATTTCAAAGCTTCGTGGGTCCCACACTCCTAAACTCACCACGCTTCATTATTGCCCCCTCTCCTCTCTCTCTCTCTCTCTCATAATTTTTTTTTTAAAATAAAATAGTTTAGTGAAAATTGTAATTTCCGCCGGATTCAGAGAGAGAACATGCGTTACGAAATATACTTTAAAAAAAAATATATTTTCTTCTTGATAAACCTTACTTTAATATTTTTTTTTTCCATGTCTTCATATCTTTAATTTTCTTCCCTAAAAATCATTAGTGAGTTGAGTTTAAAGAAAAATTTGGAAATAATTTTCAAGCAACGAGAGACATAGCATCGGTTAGCATTATACTCATGGTGTTAATTGTACGAGCAAGTCTAATAACAAATATTGGTTAGTTGGCATATGGACTTAATTCAGACGATATGGACAGCTAACGTTTGACCAACGGTTGAAAAGTTGGGCAGATTCAGAAAAATGAATTTAGTGTAACAATTTGTAAGCGCACCGCAATTTACCCGAAAAGAAATTTGCTAGTGGAATCGATTGCGATGGCTGTTTAGTGTCTGAATTTTTGTTTAAAATTTTATTTGTGCTCTTAGTCGGTATCCTTTTTTTTTGAATTATTGAATAAAGGGAGTTCTTGCAATTAGCCAATACATTAGGTGGGCTTCGCAACATGGCCCAACAGTATTTGGGCTTTCTTCACATATTTGACGGTGTTATTTTATGAAAGGAGCCCAACACCTTAGTAATTGGGCCCAATTTAAGGACATCAAGTGTCGGCCCATATACAAAACTAATGGGCCTGCTTTGTGATTCTCGTATTTTAAATTTTATATGTAGATTTTTTATATTTGGGAGCTAATTAATCAGACATCAAATCTGACAAATCCGGGTGATTCAGACAATTCTTCAAAGATCAAACCAACATCGTGAATTAGAGTAGAGACTCCAAAACCGTTGGGGATATGTCAAGAACTCGAAAGGAGAAGAAAAATGTGTGCTGACCAATCTTGGTATATTATATTTTATATAGCATAAAGCCGTTTCATTTATCCTTTTGATGTGAAATTGAGACGGATATCAAATTCGTACAACTCGTTAATCTGAAAACCTTTGATATTACAAAACATAGGAAATATATCTAACAAGATGACGGTCTTATATATATATATATATGTATGTCTATTAATTGAAGGAGACTTAGGTTATATGATGATCCGTAAGCATATCCATAAGAGATGCGATTGTGGATTTAACTGGAGATTGCTTCTGGCGCAAAGGTTTTCTGAACTTCAAGAGCCAATTCCTCCAAACTGAGGCGACACTCCAATCCTATCTGCACATATATTCCCCAAAAATTAATTATGTCTTTTATATATATGTACATATATATATATATGTGTGTGTGTGTGTGTGTGTGTTATAATGTTGAAATTCGCCATGACACAGTGGTATTTGATAGGTGAACATCCACAAAAAGTGACCTTGCATGATGATGAGGACCAAATTTGTCGTTCAGTCATGTCTACATGAACTTGTATAGGTCAAATTATGAATAGAAAATATATATATATATATATATATTGAATTCATCATGTGATATTTAAGTTTTCAAGATCCATGAACTAACATAAATTAACAAATGTGTATATATATACCTTGACGATGAAGAAATACAAGACGGTATCCTCCATGCTACTGATGTTGAGGTGAAGAACCTGAAAGGAGAGCTTCTCCAAGACAGCGATGATCTTCACGAGCTGACCTGGGATTCTCAAGGAGACAACTCTCAAGACAACATTCGACCCCGAGATCTTAGCTTCCACGTCAGCATGGGGAGAGTTGCAACACGCGCCTAGTTCCTTGAAGCTTGTCGTGTTGATGTTCTCGATCTGGGCGAAGGGTGGTCTGACGACCATGGCCGTGGACTGATCGATCTGGTGACTGTGATGAAACGTAGGGCTTAGTGTTTTTCTTCGTTTCTTGGACTCGAGAACTTGCACGAGTTGGTGCAATTCTTGGATGAAATCTATCACTCCTGCGATTATCGATGCTTGATCTCCCTGATAAATGGCGATGATCATACAACGTGAAAAGTTGTAATTAGCAATTCTGTTATTTATATATGGTGGTGGTGTTGCTTACATAAGATGATGAGCTAACGAAAACACGATCATGGCGGAATCAGTGGATTTTTTCAGACAAGAGTGTGGAATCTAAGTGTATACAGTACGATGAAGACGAATCTAGCTAGCTATATTGCATGCTATGGATCTTGATCATGCATATGATGAACAAATTCAATCAGAAAATTAGAGAGGATCGTGTGTATGTGTATGATATGATCAAATTAAAGGTACCCTTTTGATATAGAAGCAAGGGGTCAAAGAACGAAGAACTTTGAGATGGTCGTTCATCTGCCGTCTTCTGTTCCTCTCAACAGCGATGTGAGACATATCGTTACTGAATCACCTTCCTTCAACTACAGGGTTTCTGTCGGAAGATGATGAAACTCCTCGTTGATCTTCACACACAGACTTCGAAACGAAGACCCTATTTATAAAGCCGTCAATGCGGATTAGGGTTTAGGGTTTTTATATTCTAATAAATGCACTGTGTTGCTGTCCCGTGATGCTCTCTCTCTTACACACTCTCTCTCTCCCTCTCTCTCCCTCTCTCTCTGGAGTATATATAAGTAGAGAGAGTGATATGAATATATATATATATATATATATATATATATATATATATATAAACACACAGATACGTCACGCTTATGAAGATGGATACATTATATTCACAGCGTGATGGTTTTTACCCAGTGCATGCATTTGCTCCATCCACCATCTATTCATGCTTCTTCTTTTCTTTACCTTCCCCCTACGTTGTTTCTAATTAAATCGATCGGATTAAAAACCATAATGGGAAAACAGTTAATTAACCAGAAACGGGTTTAGCATGAACATCAGCTTTCTAAAACCTAGTCGAGTACAGCATCGCGACACTGTTTATAAAATTTGGGGGGGGGGGGGG